TAAAAACATTTTACAAAACCTTATGTAAATTCAAACATTATTCGACTGGCCTAATCGAGCTAGAACGTGTATGTTCCAATGGGACTACCTCTTCAATATTTTGTTGTCTAAATAGCGAAATAGTTGATATTAATCAATAAGAATTACAGTGGAGTAAAGTTATTGTGTTGTGCACCTGCCAGTAATATTTCGGTGAGAAAAATTTAATTTTACTTGCATTTACTGGCATAAAAATATTCACAACATTTCATTTAGTAAACGACTTTTTGCTCCTCTTATTATAGTACGGTACAATAAACATAAACCTATTATTCAAATAACTACCTGTCGAATAGGCAGCCAGAATTACGACGAGTAATTACTGGTTGCTAAACATACCTAATATTCACCAATGAAAAACAAAACTAAAAAGATTTCCAGGGTTGCTTTTGACTACGAGGGCACCCCAAATAATAATATGAGTTCACCGACTGAACATAATCCAACAACATCAAACATGTCACAGCAATCTACTTTAGCAAACATCTTACAGCCTTCCATTTCTTACACAGCAGCCGTTAAAACAGCACCAAAATGCTTCTTCCCAAAGAAGGAGCAAGCCATAGTGATCCATTCAGAAGTAGACTTAAAGTTGTACGACTTCGTTAAATCCATAGGAGATATTATCGGACCAAGGAATATATGCTTCGCTTCAGGGATCTCAAACAGCAGAATATGTATTTATTTAACCAAAACAGATCTAGTTGAGCAGCTCATTTCCACAAATCCTACTATTACCATCGTAAACCATATCCTTTCAATCAGAAGACAAATCACACCAGCAAAACGACTGATCAAGTCTAATATTTGTTCTTCAGTACCCATTGAAATAATAGAGGCGTCCTTTAAAAACATAGGACTTCAGCTAGTCTCTCCAATATCATTCCTACGAGCTGGCATTCCAGGCGATGAATACAACCTTATCTTGCCTTTCGCAAACAAGTATATTTTGTTCGATCCCAAGATAATTCTGACATGCAAACATTCCTGATTATTCCATTTGACAATAATGATCATAGAATATTTTTATCCACAGATAAAATGATTTGTTTCTACTGTAAAAAATCTGGTCATATAGCATCAAATAGCCCCACCCCTGAATCCAATCAATCAGAAAATTTAAACAAAACATCTCCCCTTCCCTCTAATATTTTCCAAGCTACAAGTCAAAACACACTACCGGTAGTTTAACAAGACGATAATTCGGAAACACCTAATGACACGCGCAGAATTAATATAACTTTAAAAGGTGAAAAGAGACCAAAGTCAACTGACTCATCAGAAATAGAACACCCAACTGGTTCAAAGTTGGTAAATCAAGTCAAAAAAGTAAATCAAGCCAAAAAGAAACTCAAAAGGAACTTTTCTATTCAAGATGACAGCATACTATCGCCGGAATCTAAGAATACAATCAGAGAACACTACAAAAAGACTCCTTTACGTTACCGGTCGATAACTTCATAGCTTTCTTAGAGAATTGCTACGGTAAATCCAGGCCACTGAGCGAAGCACTTCTGTTTACAAAAAATATAAAATATCTCCTCTATGAGATTTCCAAGATTTACAAATCACTAACTGAAAGATCCCTTAAAAATCGACTAACTAGAATTACTGAAAAAATTAAAATGGAACTAGACTCTAATAATTCTGACGCAGAAAATATAATCTCGGTATCCTCACAAGACAATTTCGAAGAAGACCATCTCTCCTCTCTGAAGGGGCAACCGCTTCAGAAACATAACATACTCATTTTCAATCTAATCCAGTGGAACTGTGAAGGGTTTTACCCCCGTCTAGAACGCATTCAACAACTAATCATGGACACGAACGGTGATATCATTTGCCTACAAGAAACAAACTTTAAGCAAACGCGAAAGAAATATCTCAATGATTTTCAAGCACATCACTTTTTAAGAACAACTTATAACAGAACTAGTGGAGGCACATCTATATATGTATGCTTCTAAAGACTACTATTGCAAAGAAGTACCCTTAACTACCTCACTAGAAGCTATTGCTGTTTCTCTTTGGTGTCCAAATAAAATTACAATCTGTAGCATTTACATACCACCTTCTCACAGCCTCACTGAATTTGAGCTAATAAACTTAATTAATTAACTTCCAGCCCCCTTTATTCTAGTAGATTTTCATTCCCATAATTCACTTTGGGGATCGAAAAAAACCTTTGGTAGAAGAAAGGTAGTTGAAAATGTTTTAAATTTTGGAAGAAAATTAAACAAATGCACGGGAAAACAACACACTTCTCATTTCCAGCGCTTACTTATCATAATTCAATAGTAACTAAAGATGGTTAAATTGCTAAAATTATGGCAATTCATTTTCATAATAAAAGCAAAAAATGACAACTACACAAATACTCTGACAACATAAAGTTATTTCTTCTACAACAGATCTCTCAGATGACCTCCTTGCTTCAACCCCACCTTTTACTTTTCACGTTTACTTTTAATTTTCACAGTAGGATGATCTCACATCGCAGCGACATACAAACCAAAAAAAATAATGCATGTGCGCTGACAGAATATTCATTAACGTTAAAACATAAATTTAATTTCAAGGATTCCTGTATTTTGACAAAACCATTCAAAACGTGTTTTCTTGGAAATATGTTACATAAAATCCAATACGTCTTGTATAAATAAAAAGTCTGACATCGATAAACTGAGCAATATTTATTGTTATTTACTGACAAAACATCAAAAATGAAATAAAGACTTACTTTTACATATACACACCAGAATACAACGGCATGCAAAACATGTTGCATACCATCAAGACAGGTTTAATACATTACTTTCATTAATAAAACATGAAGAACACCTAATTACATTTTAATCATACTATTTTTGTTTTTTCCCCTTTCTGTTCTCTATGGATCAGTTAAAACACACCATTAAAAGATGTCACAAACGAAGTTTTACTACCTTTTTTTACTTTTAACTAAATTTTATAATGTATTATGTCCATTATTTTATATGTTATATTTTATATGTGTGTTATTAATGTTGAGTGTCATAGCTTTATATAAATAATCTCAACGACTCGTAAGTGGCACTAACAATTTGTAATATATTGTAAATACTTACACATTCATCTAATTACACTGTCTTGATAAAGGAATAAATCAATTCCGAAAGCTAGACCAAAAGTCAAAAGAGTGTTTCTATAACATCCCGGCCAAACTTTTGACTGCAGCCCTAATAAACTTTGATGTTTGTTTATATTGACAGTCACTTATATCCAGTATTTCTTATATATATATATATATATATATATATATATATATATATATGTAATATATATATATATATATATATATATATATATATATATATATATATTGTCATACTTCTTCTTTCCCAACCAAAGAAAAAAATAAATAAAAAGATCCATCGGAATAAAATTTTAAGATATCATTATAAGCAAAATGTATATATAGTAATTTAAGATAAGATTTAGTGTAGATAAGAATAGAAATGTGTTTGGCGTTCAACAAAATGATCGAAAAACCCCTTTTGTTTAGAATTAGAAGACACTTTATCTGTAAGTTAATCTTGTCATTGTTTGTGGATTAAATGACCATATTTTAATCTTTGGAAACATGTATAGATTGTGTATTAACAGACTGAGGACAAAAAAAATCAATTTTATCTATTCTTTCTCTGAAACAGTAATTTGGTTTTACCAAATGATACGCAGAATTTTTAAAATAAACATTAACAGTATTAAACAAGATTTGAGCTTTTTGATTAGATGGTCGTTTTTGAATGGTAATGGGGTTAGCCTGATTAGGAGACCGGGAGCGCGGCAGTTGTAATTTTGCCATCGAAGGAAACAGTCGTTTGTTTAAAGATAGGGTGTGGTTCGTGAGTTTGGATACCCGCATTGTGAAAAGAGGTGAATAGTTTTGCAGAAGGAGATAACAAGTAGATTAAAAGAGGTCCGTGTATCTACCGTGGGCATTTTGTGAAGTATATGTGAAAGTAGTTTTACGGCATCAAGTTGACAAAAGAAGGTCCTTGTGTCATAAATAAGTTGCTGAGTTTTTGGAGAAGTGAATTAGGTGTTTTTGGGTAGTCTGCAGGAGGTTTGCAGAGACGTTAGGAAGGAGCCGACGAGCCAAAGAGGAGAGATCACATCGTTGAGGAGCCTGGACTTTTCTGGGTAGGTTCCAACATACAATTCAATAAGGAAAAAAGCTGTAAGTATTTTGTACAATTGAAATTGATATCTGTGAAGGATATGTGTTGACATCATGATCATTATCATTTAAATTTAAAGAACTGAGTTTTGTTAGACTAATCAAAAGTTTAAAGTTTTGTTGTTTTTTTGTTTCAAGTAAAGGAAAGTTTAAGTAAAATTTTTCATACAAAATAAGCAATACCTAATTTTTTGTAATATACTATTCTCGTTTACTATTATCATTCTTCTCTATCCCGATAAAGGATGACTAGAAAGTTTTTAAATCCATCGAACACAGGTAATATAAGGAGTTTTATTTTACATTTGATAACAATTAAGTTATATTTTTGATTGACTCGATAAAGTAAAATCAAAGTCAAGATAAACAATCATAACAATATATATATATATATATATATATATATATATATATATATATATATATATATAAAGATGAACTAGACATATTGCTAGGATGTCAGATCACGAATACACGAAAAGATTAACATTTTCAAAACCAGAGGGCACAAGAAGCAGAGGACGGCCACGAATGAGATGTATTGATTATGTGGAATAAGACCTACAGATACCTAAGGGTTAGAAGATGGAGAAAAGTTGCCAGAAATCGACAGGAGTGGTGACTTTTTTGTAAGCAGGCCAAGATCCACAACAAATTGTTGTGCCACTTATGATGATGATGATGAATATTACAATTTTTTTATAGATTTTATTAAAGGTCAAATATTCATTATACTCACCCCAGGCATAACAGCTACTGAAGTTTTTGGTCCAAGATTAATGGTGCGACCATCATTTCTTACTAACAGATTAAGACCACGACTACCGGGCTCACCACCTGAAATATATCAAAAAATATAAAACTTACTAGAAACTTACTAAAAACTTACTATAAAAATTTTAGAAACTTACTAGAAACTTACTAAAAACTTACTAAGAACTTACTATAAACTTACTAGAAACTTATTAGAAACTTACTAGAAGCTTACTAGAAATTTACTGGGAACTTAGTAGAAACTTAAGAGACACACTAGAAACTTACTAGAAACACACTTCCCATATCCTAAACTAATTAGTGAAATGAACATACATAGTAGAGAATCATAGAAACCGAACAAGGTCAAGTGCTGTGCAATGATTTGCATCGCCTCTATATGGTCGGCGCTTCGTACACACGCATCTCCACCAGAAATCCCACCTCCATCGATGTGCGCTATAGGAGATGGAAGGCCGTCGAGGTATTGATTTGACAACTCCACTGTCCCTAGAGTATTGACTGAAGGCTAACTGTTTCTGGTAGAGTATTGATCTAGTGACAGTTCCGCATCTGGTCTTAGAGTATTGATCTGAGACATAACTATTCTCTCCTGTGTCCAAGTATTGATTGAACATCGTCCTTTTCTCGCTGTGCCGAGTGTTGATTGGCCCATTCCATCTCTATTTTTTCGACCAGTTTCCTACCGCCTGTGTGTGTTTTAACGCACCGCAATTGCTGTTTGGACTTTATGTCATTCATTGTTTTTTATTTTTTGCAGATATTAAACAGTGGGTTATATCGCATCATTGCCAGGATTGACGGTTTAATTTTTATTGTATATATTAACTAGGATCTAATTTTATTTTGTTATTTATTTATTTCGAGAATATTTTTATTGTGCCTGCCAGGAACGACAGACACAGACTCAGTAACAGGTGCCACGACAAAAACGTTGTGGATATACAGCCTGTCCAAAGATAAATTACAGCGCGAGGCCGAAAAGATCGGCTTATATTCAAAAGAAACCACCTAAGATCTAAGATCAAGGCTAGGAGACTTTTTCCAAGATCGCGGAGAACCGACAGGTACGATCCCAAAAGTCAAAGTGAAACCTTCCAAAGAATCTGATCCCGACAAACTAACCCAAGAAATTTTAATTATCAGAAGACCATAACAAGATATACCAACATCGAGACAAATGTCGCAAGCAGAGTTATTAAACTAAGTACGGAAGTGGAACAAGCACTTCGATAAAAAACATTAGGACGCAGTAAATTTTATAGAAAAGATAGACGAATTAAGCCTAGCCTAAGTGATTGATAAACAAGATCATCTAAGAGCATTTTCAAAGTTGGTAGGAGACCATGCGTTGCTATGGCACCGAAACAACAACAGAAATTGGAATTCATGGACAGACTTCAACGAAGATTTTAAGAAAGCTTTCTATCCCACTATCCGAGAAGATATTTGCTACAACTAAAGGAGCAAATCAGAAATATAAATCAAAAGCAAAATGAGTCAGCGAATATATGTATCACAGACATTCAAACATTAATTAGATGAGAAGGATCTTTTTTCAAAGATCAAGAATTGGAATGAATATATAGAAATATGCTCACGGAATATAAAGTTTATATTCGCTGCTAAGACTTTAAAGATTTAATTGAATTGCAAGACTAGGCCCAGGAATATAAAGTCTTAGAGGTAGAAAAGACCAGAATAAATCAAAATCTTTAAAGACACCAGAAACGTACAGCCCCAAGAGGGTACAAACAAACGCCTGGGCTCAGACAAACGATTGGCGACTTCCAGGCGAGAGATTTACTTTAGCATGTGTTGTCAAGTGACTTCCATTTGGTGAAGGGTCAGTTATGGTATGAAGAGGCATATCGTTTGACGATCGCACAGAGTTGGTCTTTATCAAGAATTGAATATTGACCGCGCATAGGTACCTAATATAGCTTCTAGAAGAGCATATTTTACCATATAGGGTTATTCTTGGAGGCGAACCTACATTTATGCCTGACATTGCACGGCCACACACTTCTCGGATATTTAGTGAGTATTTTGACGAGGTATAAAACACACAATTTGTTTGACCTGCTCGCAGTTCAGATATCAATCACATAAAATATATTTAAGATAAGATGAAGAGACGTTTACGGAGTTATGTGCCGGCTCTCAGAAATTAAAGAGAGCCTCGCGGCATATTGGTGGAACAATGGAACAATATTCCGCAGAGTGTGATCCAAAATCTGATCCAAAGCTGGTCTCGTCGTTTACAAGCTATTATCACTGCCAGAGGAGGGAATACCTACTACTTAAGTTCTTAAAATTTGTTTTGCTTTAACAAAAAGCAGAATATATTAAAATTGTCTTGATTCAATATCTATTATATCAAAAGAAAATTTTTAAAATTTGTTGCCGTACTGCTCCACCATAGGCCGATCATACACCAGCATATTCTAGTCTAAGCCGAAGATTCATCTAGAATTTTAAACTGCTGCGTTAGCCTTTTTTATTTTTCTGTACACTGGGCCGGGGCTTGAACCCACATTCACTGAATCATTGCATAGTGAATCGAATGAGAGTCGACCGCCTGACCCGCTTGGCTATCTAACCGACGAATTTATTTTGACATATTTTAATAGTGGATTTGTCAAAAATATAAAAAGTAGATAAAATTATTAGGGACTATTATTATAAATATAATGATATAAATTATTATAAATATGTTGTTTATTAAATATATTCAAAATTTGTAGATTAAAGGCACGTATTTCTTGCTAACAATTCATACATACCGTTCATTCCATAAGGTTGCAGAACTCTTCTCTCAGTTAAAACTGATAACGTAAGAGACGATCTAAACATCAGTTCCCTCAGTACTCCATCACCACCATAAAACTTGCCTTTTCCTCCTGTGTTTGGTCGTAACATAAACGTACGTACATGCACTGGACATCGTCTTTCCAATATTTCTATGTCTGTTATTCTTGTATTAGTCATATGGGTATGCACACCTGAACAACCATTCCAAGTTGGACCCTAAAATATATATTTTACATTAGAAGCATCAATTCACGTTTCCAGTTTAAATAATTTTCTTTCTTAGACTTAAATAAAAAACTACTGAATTGCAATATTACAAATCGGTGGTTCTTGCAGAGTTGTTTAGTTTCACAGCAGCCAAAGACATGACGCTGTGAGGATGACCTTTGCTCCCCTCCCACTCCACCTTACCCACAATTCCTTGCTACTCTCTCACACATATCACACCATCCGTCCAGACTGCTAGTCTGCCACGCCGTTTCGAGCAAGCCTGTCGGGTAAAGTAATGCCAGACATTTGAGTGTCCAATATTTGGTCATCCAAAAGACTTCCTCAAATAAGTTTCGTTATAAGAACGTTTCAACTTAGCGTTGGAATCTAACAACAAGTTTCTGCTAGCGAAGCCAATAAACTCAAAGCAGTATTTGAAAAAGCTTCCTTACCTACTGTGTCAGAGTACAGAATTGTTCAACTAATAAATACTTTTCATGATAATTACTACAAACTACGAAACTCTGTTAACCGTGACAAAGACAAGCCACTGTGCAAAAAAAAAACTTTCAGAATTGAAAGAAAAATAGGCTAAAATCTTTGATGTTTTTTGTTGCAAGTGCAATATTGTCGGGTAATGCAGTCGGATCACTTTGTTGGAACTTAGATTTGTATAGTTACAAAGGAAGTACGGGTTGGGTAAAATTGGAAGTGTGGACATTGAACAGACACAGTAACTAGCCTAACGAAAGAAAAGAAGAATAACTAGGCTAAAAAACACTCCGCACTTCCGCAGAACACTCTCTTCAATTTAGTGAATATGGTTCTGATATTTCTATTCTTTTTTTTTTTAATTTCTGCTAAGCTATCGTTGTCTTTATTTATAAAAGTGCCTAAATATTTGTATTTGCTAACTAGATCGATAATTTCATTGTGTAAAAATAAATCTTGGACATTTTATGTTGATTTCGATATTACCATAAATTTAGTTTTTTTATGTTCAAAAATAGTACATATTCTTCGCTGCAGTTGCTATCTTATTCAACAATGTCTGTAGCTCTTCAAGTGTTTCTACGATCAGAACGGTGTCGTCGGCAAATCTCAGATTGTTTAATCTAACACCATTTATTTTATGACCTACGGATTGCTCAGAGAGTGTTCTATTCATTACGTCTTCGGAATAGAGATTAAACAGGGTCGTGACAGTATACACCCTTGTCTCACATCTCGCTTTATTTCAGTTTCTTCAGTGGTATTATTCTTTACTTTCACTACTGCTTTCTGATTGTAGTACATATTTGCTATTAGTCGGATGACTCGTTTATCTTAATTCTTTTCTGTTAGGAGTCTGATTAGGTAATCATGCCGCACTTTATCAAAGGCCTTGTAATCTATGAAACACATGAATACATCTTGAATTATGTCAAGACATCTTTGAGACATAACGTTCAGTGCAAACGATGCCTCTCTTGTTCCGAGTCCATTTCGGAATCCAAACTGGGTATTATTGATGTCCACTTCCAGTTTTCTGTGTATTCTAGGGTGTATAATTTTCAGAAATATTTTCAGTACATGGCTCATCAGACTGATTGTACGGTAATCACTAGATTGTTTGGCATTTATCTTTTTTGGTATAATGACAAAGGTGGACAAAAGCCAATGGGGCTTTACCATTTTTCATTCTTTTTAGTGCGTACATTACTTTCTCTTCCGTAATTTCTGGACCTTCATCTCCTTCTATGTTACTTAGCTCAGATTGTTGTCTATCATCTACTGTTGAGTTCTTCAATATAGTTTTTCCATGTCTTCAACTGTTCTTCTAGTTCTGTTATTATGTTTCCGCTGACATTATACAGGGTATTTGGCTGCTTACGTTTTTGTGTACCTGCAAGTTCTTTCACTTTTTTATGTACATAAAAAATATCATGTTTTGCCTGTAATTGCTCTATTTCTTTACATTTTTTTATAAAAATCTTCTTTGGCTATTCTGATTTCTATTTTAATTTCTTTCTGTATTTATTTGTACCTTTCTTCGTTGTTTCCTTTCATTATTCTCCGATTGTCCATGAAAAGGATCTTATCAGTCATCCACCTTTGCTTTATTTTTGGTTTTTCTTTAGTCAGAATTTTCTTCGCAGGACCTGTTATCGCCATTTTTAAGTTTTGCCATTTTTTATCTATGTTGTTCGTTAAGTGAGATGTTTCTTTTTCATGAAGTATTTTCAAATTATTATTAACACATTTTTGCAGTTTTTCCTTTACCTACAGATTACATAAATGACTGACGTCTATCTGATTTGCTCTTCTATCTACTCCAATCTTTTTAGTTTAATACTCATTTGCGCTATTAGAGGGTTATGGTCTGAAAATCCATCTGCGCCTGGGTAAGCTTTAAAGGATTTTAAGGAGTTTCTGTATCGTTCGTTTATCAGTAAAAAAATCAATCTGGTTTCGGATTATTCTTTCGCCATTGTCCTGTGGTGATTTCCACGTATAAAGTTTTCTCTTTGGTAAGTTGAAGAATGTATTAGATACAATCATGTTATTCTCCTGCCAAAATTGAAGTAGTCTGTCATCTCGTTCATTTCTTTTACCGAGTCCGTATTCTCCTATATGCTTGCCACTTTTTCCTTTAACAATTTTTGAGTTAAATCACCTAGAATTACGGTGATGTCGTGGTTTCGTCGATTTTAATACTTGATTGATTTTTTCGTAGAATTGTTCAATTTCGTCCTCGGATTTATCCGTGTGAAAATCTTTCACTAGTTAGTTTGGAGAGTATTAAACTGTGAAATTCCAGATGTAGACCGGAAGCTGTTGAGTAAGGATCAACAATATTGGCTTGACATTTGTACTGCAGATATAGTTAAGAGTTCCAGAAACTATAAAACAAACGTATGTATATAAAAAATTCACCCATTTATTGCAAAATAATTTTTCTGTTAACATGATAAAAAAATGAGCTTGATTAATACATTAAAAACAGAGGCTGTAGCAAATCTCCAATATGCAAACATGTCTGGGATAATGTGAAATAGAGTTCAATAGAAAGCTGCATCAACAGCCATAAAATAAACGCACAGCAAAAAGAAGAAAATCAAACAAGCAGCCCTCATCTAACTAAATGAAGAAAACTCTGTAATAAAGATACCAATAGAATTAACAGACTCTGGTTAATAATACTCAAAAAAAGACTTCAGCATCAGGAACATACTAACACTACCTAATTAATATCAGGTCAAAGACACATCATTCTTTATGGCTAAGTCTGTGCATTCGGCAATTTTTAGAATATTTTAGTAACAAAACTTGCATATTAATACATATGCATCCACCATTTTTTAAACTTCAATTATGAGAACCCTTTCTAATAATTTGTGTAACAGTGTCATGAAAACACTGAACGAGAACAATTAAAAAACACTAGCATAAAGATAAAAACTTAAGAAAAGACTAAGTCAAGACTAGATGTAGATAGTTACTTCAATATGTAAGAATTGGACGTGCTTTAATTTTATGTTTTTGTGTTATTGCTTGATTGTTTCTCCGATATTGAAAGAGACTGTCATTTGATTGAAATTTGTAATTTTTATATTTTTATGTGTCGGAATTGTTATCGGAATGGTTAAATTTGATATAATGGTTGGTTTAATTGGATAACTGCTCAGTTTAGATAGATTGAATATTTGTTATCTTATTTGGTGATGATAAATCAACGTCATATTATATACCACTTGTTCCATTCTCACTTGCAAATATTTCGACTTTTAATCTTTATCGGATAATTACATCATTTTTATTATAAACTTCTGTACTATTTGTTATTGTTAAATAGTGGCATTTGGAATGCAATCTTAGATTCCCTTGCCGATTTATTCATCAAGCTGTTTGCTTTGCAAGTTTTAGAAAGCACGGTGGCTGAGATTTGAATTCGATTTCGCCAGGTAGAAATCGTATGATTTCTCTTTTTGTTCTTAGATGCCGTAGTTACGTCTGTACATAGTTATTTTTTATAGCTATGGTCTACGACGGAAAAGACTTTGTTTCGTTACGGAGTAGTGGCTATACCGTACTGAGGAGACTTAAAGAGGTCGAAATACGTATATGCGGCTTGTCGCTGCTCTATATCGAATCAAAATCTAATACCGTCATTTTGTTTATATATATATATATATATATATATATATATATATATATATATATATATATATATATATATATATACCGGGTGGTGAATCGTCAAACGGACCATAGGAAACTCAATGGTAAATTCTAAATTGTTGAATTCCTGCTTCCCTAATTATTTTACACCAAAAGTCATGGGAAACTATTTGTAGAGGACTCAAATATGTATCGAAAACAACTGTTAAAATTATTCTACGACTTAAACGTATTCCAAAATTTTGCTAAAATATAATACATTTTTCAGGCCACCCCTAAAAGTTAGGCCACACGTAATGCAAGAATATATATTATTACGTTTGTGTTTTATCATATTTATGTCAGATGTTTGACAATTTGAATTGTCAATTTTTTTATTTTATGATTAAATTATAAACAATGAGTTTTACTAAATACTACTACTAATGAACATTATTACTTTGTGAACAATAAATTATATTGTTTACAAATCGATCAATATAATGTACTCAGTTGACGAAAAATCGCATAATGTTGTACTCAGGCAATAGCGCGAACCTTTTCCTGCCACTACCGGATCTTTATTTAACGTAAGATATTCTAATTCACTAAAATTTAATTCCATGTTAAGTTATACAACAATTCAATGAATTCCAATATACTGTTACTGTGATCTTTATTTCTAATAATAATATATGATAATTTATAAACATAAAACTATAATAAGTGTTATAATAAAACATGAATAAAAAATTTTTATTATTGCTTTTTTCTCCTCAACTGAGTACATTTTTTAATCAACTTAATTTTTTTTTAACAATAAATCACAAAATTTTGGCCATTTAAATCATAGATAAATGTAATAT